AAGTTGGTGGTCACGCCCTTTTGAAGCTTGGACCACCACCAAATTGAGAACTTTCGGGCGAGGCGTCGAGGAGCATGCTCCTTGTGGGGCCATCGCTCCAGCCTGGTCCTGCAAGGTGCGACGTGCATCCGCGAGGCAGTGCGCGCCATCTCCGGCCTCAGTCTCAAGGAGTTGCACGTAGCTCGCCGCGAACCGCGGCAGGCGCGTATGGCAGGCAACGCGTCCCCCACTAGTCTGCAGGTGCCGTGGTCTCAGCGGCCTGCAACCCGAGGCCGCCCAGCGCTCCAGGCAGGGCAACTTGCCGTGCATGGGCGGCGTTTGCGTCGCCCGTTCTTCCGAACAATTTTTATTTAGCATGCGCACTGAAGGTCGGGAAGCTCGGGCTGTTGGTCGATGGAGCGCGTGCTCGGTGTGCAGCTTTTCCTCGGCCCATGCCTGGACGAAGGCCGCGAACAACGGACAACTACGCGTCGTTGGGCATCGGGCTTGTCGCCTCGCCGCATATCGTCGCCCAGCGTTTTAGCCCGGGACGCCATCGTGACCACATAGAGGTCGTCCAGGAAAGCGACGAGGCGGTCGTTGGGATGGAACCATCGTGTTGTCCGAAGGCGAAAAGTACAGGGGCGAGGGCGTCCCCTCGCTCACAGCCTTCGCCCTGGGGAACGTCCCGGCAGCGGCCTGCGGAGTCCCACCAGCAGTACGTGGAAGGGCTCCCGTAAAACAAGCGCACGAACGGGATCCATTCCGGCGCCACTTCACGGAGTTTGTTGAGGAAGGCCGCCCGCGACATGCTGTCGTATGCACTGCGGCCATCCAGCGACACCAGCACGGCTCCTCTGCGTGTCGCGAATGCGGGACGCACGTGAGCCGCGAGGGCATCAGTTCCAGCTCGAGCCTGCAGCATGGACTGGAATGGCCTCGTGGCATATAGGCCCACGCCGCCGTCTGTTGCGCGCAAGGCGATCAGGCGAGCGATAGCGACTGCTTTGCACACGTCTGCCGGCATGCGAGCCTGCGCGAGGAGCTGCCCGCAACTCGATGGCCTCGCCATCTTGGAGCAAGAGCTTGACGTGTTCCGCTCGCATGCCTGAGAGGCCGGGCGCGCCTGATCGACGTGCGGAGCGAAGCGCGGCGGCGATTGTTCGCGTGGTGAGGTGTACGGGCTGGGAAGCTTGGTGCTGAAGGATGTATGGATGGATCGCGGTCCGTGTTTTCGGAGGACGGCGTGCGGGGTCGGTCTGTGCGGCCAACGTGGCCTCGGTTCCAAGGTCCGAATCGCAAGCCGTCAGCACTTGACGTGCATGTGACAGTTCACCCTGCCGCAGTTCTTGCGCAGGCTTGGTGCCGCTGTCGTTCGGCGACTTCGTCCGGGGGGTAGCGTCGGGGTGTCGTGTGCTGGACGGCTGACGCAGATTGCATCAGCTGGAGCCAGTTGCCTCGCTGCAACACTGCTGCCCGGCCCAGCAATTCGGCACGACCTTGAGAGCCTGGTTGCTTTGTGCGGGCAAGAAGCAGCATGCGGGGCGCGAGCAGGAACAGCTTCCACGCCTTGGCAGCATCTGTGCTGTCAGCTGCGCTGTTGGCTGCTTGTGCCTTTCGAAAGTGTCGAAGCGATTGCACATGTGCCCCCCGGTACCGCGGCTCGCATGAAGGGAGGTGCATCGCCTCATCCACGAGGTCGACGTCGTCCCAAGCCCTCCACTCTTCCGCATCGGCTGCGGCCGCTCGATCCGGGCAGAAGTGGCGGCCGTCAGTGTCGTCACCCGCCATGTTAAAGGCGGTCGGGTCTGGTGCGGGGGGGACCGTAGCATGTGCATGGAGCACGGGGCCCCTGTCTGGAGTGTCTGGGGGGCGAACGCGCGTCAACGCCGGTGCGACTGCGCCGCACATTTTTGGCCTACATTTGAGCCGCAGAAGCGACTGCGACGCTTCCGTCTGGAGACGTGTCCTCGTGCATCCATTTAAAGAGTGACTGTGCCCGACAAGGGTATAAAGGCGCAGCCGCAGCCGGAAAAGTGGTCAGCGCTTCGGCGGCTGCAACCTCTGCGCAAGCGGAGAATGGCAGAAGCTGGCAGGCGTTGCCGTAAAGCCACTGCCAGCTCTGAAAAGCGCAGGCCGATGTGGGGATGGCATTAACATCATGTGTAGCGGCCTGTGTCAAGGCGCCTGCTGCGGCGTGGAAGAGTGGTACGAACAGCGAGGAACACGGCTCGCCTGGCGCGTGGTGTGGCAGGCGGGCATCCTGCCAGTATAGTAGTGGCTCGCGGGCGGGAGCTGGCAGCAACATGTTGCGCTCGCCGGGCATTGCGCTCGGCGGGCAAGCATGTTGCCAGGAAAGCGGCTCGGCATTGGTAGGCGCTGAGTCCGGTGAATGGGGCGGCGTGAAGCCGGGTGTGGCCTCGTCAGGTGCTGCATGCCGGCGCCATCGCTCCCGAGAGTTTCGCTGCTTTCAGCAGCTTGCCGGGCAATAAACAGTGCAACCGTCGCAAGCGTTGCGAATTCGTTGGTTTTTTTTTGGCTGGTAGAATTTGCGAAGCGAACACCCACAATGTCTGAGTCAGTGGAAAAAGAGCGTCGGGAGTTTTCGCCTACATGCCGCCGGCTATGTCAAGATCTGTACGACGTTGGACTGGTTAGGGCCGGCTAGGCTGCCCTTTCACCCAGTCCCGATTCCTATTGCATTGACACGCAACATTGCTGCTGCGAAGCACGTCCATGGAGATACGTTAGGGACCACCCCAGGATAAAACGCAAAGCCGCGATTCTGCAGCTGCAAGCGCTCGCGCCCAGATTCGTGCGAAGTGCTTGCGACAGGTGTACAGGAAAGTTGTTTTTGCAAAGGCACTTTCGCTTTGCAATACGAATATGATATCACTAAACGTAAACCCCACAACCATCGAAATGCTCGACGCACGGGATGTTCTAGACCTTAAATTGCCAGTGCTTTGTGTTACCGCGGCTTTCCGGGTAGGTGGAAAGATTCGGTCTGGTAAACGTGGCTTCAGAACATCAGAATGGTTCCGTTCAGGTTAGCAATCGGTACACGCACCAGTACAGTTTATCCACCAGTGCCCAACTAACCCTTCTTATATCATTCCGGGTCCTCACAGAAGCTCCAAACCCGGGGTCCCAGCTTGACCGTGCATGGCAGAATAGAGTCCCGAAGTTGGGGCTCATCCCTTTTTCGATTCTATGGTCTGTAGCGTTCTGGGGTTGAGGGTCCCGCAGCCCCAAACTGGTGTTTTGCTTGTTCTGAATAGGGAATTCTTGATCATGTGAATAGGGATCTGGGCATTATGGTATAGTTTTGGACGCACGTATAGGGATTACAGAGAATAAGATAACCAAGTATTTTTTACTTGTATCCCACCAGATTTCGGGACGCGTTTGCTTTTCGCCCTTGACACGCCAAGCGATTAGTTGCGCAAACCGTGTGAGTCTGGCTTTCGCTGTTTGGCACTCCTTCGTGTTTTCCGCTTGTCGTGGCTCTCTCTCTCTCTCTCTCTCCTCTGTTTCTACGTCTCTTCGCGCTTCTTCGCTCATCTCTTTCGCTCTCTCTTTCTCTCTGTCTGTCTTCCCGTGAGCTTCGTCACCAGACCCACCCCTGCAGATGCGCAAATCAGCGACACTCGGGTGCTGCGAAAAAGCCAATAGAGTGCAGAATTCAGACTCGTGAAGTGCATGCTGGTGAACATTGAACGCTTGAATGCCCAGCTGCGAACCGAACACTGACTTGTAGTAGACCACGAAAAAACGGGCGACATCGGTTGGAGCTGTTGGAACCGTCGGATAACTTGTCAAGGCTCGAAGCACAACTTGTTTTCAGGGCATGGTTTGCATGTCATTTTGTCAGGGCGCTGGAGCCATATTAGTCGCCACAGACCATAAAGCATTAGGATGGCTCACGAACATGCATGCAGCGTCTTTGGCTAGCCGTTTGGATCCGGCGCGGTCGCCGGTGCGGCGCGCCTCAGAGGCCCCGCGATTTGCAGAGTGATTTTTAACGGTCATGTGCTTGAAGGGCTTCAATGTTTGCATTTCAGATGCAGCTGTGCTGCGGGAGGACAGTGTGGGATGCCGGAGCTCCCTGAAGAAGAGTGCGGGCCTCTGCACGGTTGTTGCTCTTCTTGTTCGGACACTCAGCAAGCGGCCGTTTGTGCGTTGCGGTATAGCTGCGACATGCCCGGGCTGTTTCAAGTTTCGGGATGCGGTCTTTTGCATCGTGCATTAGAACCCTGCAGCCAGCAGCCAAGGCAATCGCGCTATTCTCAGAACGGTGTTGAGGATCTCGGCTCCGAGCGTCCTCTGGGCTTCCGGGAAACCGACACGTCTCTGGAGGCCACATCACAGACTTCATTTTCAGTGCCTGTCCAGAAGCTGATAGGGACCGGTGATTCTTCTCTTCCTTGCCTACGGTATGGAAGTGAGTAGACGAAAATGTCGCAGCTGCAGGAACGTGTGCTAGCATCTCCTCAAAGGGGGGGGAGGGTGTCATCTGCGCAGACGATGGCGCGAAGGCTCGGTTTTGCTCTCCGGATGTTCGGTTGTGAGTTCCTGATTGTATGCAAACCTTAGAAGCCGTGGGGCGTGGATGCAGGCGGGCAAAGCTGCTTAAGGGAGTTGAGCGAATCGCCGTGTTGCTTGCAGGCATGTCTGGCCGGAGCTGGAAAGCCACGGGAGGCTTGGTTTTGTGCGTTACCCTGTAGGTCTTTACTTTGGGCTGTGTACAAGTGCTGGTCTTACGTCTGCTCGGGACAAAAACAGGATGCACCGACAAGTCTTTGCGACAGCCATTCACAACGGAAACGATCGTTCCTGCTCGAACCCGCCTCTCAAGAGCTTGTTGACCTTCTCAGCAGGACCTCGAAGCGTCGTAGCTGGAAGATCACTTCAGCACCGTCAAGTCGCAGCCACAGGCTATGCGATAAAGCTGCCAGTCCATGTCACCTCGCGCCCCGGGGTGAGCTCAAGCACGTCTTGCTTGCATGATGGACGGGCGACTAGCCAGATCCCTGTTGCGGCGTGGCAGCAGCTCGAGGCGCTCGAGCTGCTGCCAGGCCGCAATAGGGATCTGGATGCAGTCGCCCATGCTCAGATCCTGGCCACGCAGTCCGGCTCTAGGACTCTAGCATGCAGCATTACTCTGAGACCCAACTCGCCCTGGAGCACAGAGCAATTCCTAACTCTTGCAAACCGCCCAAAGGTCACGGAAAACACACACAACTAGGGACAGCCACGGTACCGTCATAGTGGAACGCGGAATACGTTCCTTTGTCGTAGAGGTCGAATTCATCTCCGTCCAACGTGTGGATGTGTGGATCTCCGACTACTCCTCCACTCCTCAGTCGTTGAACACGCTCGTGCTCAACGAATAAGAGTTGGCATACCCGACAGTAGTGAGTGTAAGCAGGGGGTGGAGTGCCTATTACAAGGGGGAGGGGATCGCACCTGCTCAGCGACCAAGTCTCCCGTCGCAACAGCCGAACTGAGCGGCAAAGTGGCTCAGGTCTTGAATGTTGCTTGGGTTGTTGCTGCTGGTTCGCAAGCTTACGATGCAGAATTTGTCGTGAGCCTCCATGTGGTGCCAAACGTCTTGTCCACCTGGGGAGGTTGTTGGCGGTAGGCCAAGCTGAAACACAGGAAAACAGTCATACAACAGTGCAGGGATTGCGCATGAAACCAAATCTTACTCCTCTGCGTGCGCTGCTAGCCTTAGCTACTCCAAACCTTCCACACCTTGCCCTTTGAAGGACCGGCGTTCGTCCCACATGTCCGCTTGCAGTAGCAGAAACGACCGGCCCCAACACACCCAAAGCCCTGAACCCCAAACTCTAAATCCCAATCCCCGCACCCTTGGAAGTCAAAGAGGCGCTAACAATCAAAACAAGCCCGGAAGCTGCACAGGGCAAATGCCAGCTCGAAATCAACCTTGGCCGTGGTCCACGTTCCTGAGACGGGGTACGGCTACTTGCCAGCTGGGTGTGGGTGCAATCTTCACCGCTCGTGGTCCGTGAACTTCCTCTTATAGGTCGCATCACTTGGAAGCTCCGCCAGCAACATGCCACTTTGCAAAAATGCCGGCTTCGTGCTTTGCGCTGCCGAGCTGTGCGATTGCAGCATGTATGCTGCACCCTCAACCGGGCAAACTGGAGAATGCCATGCCAATACTGATGCATGCATGCCTCACCGAGGCATGCCCTTAACCGAGCAAACAACACTCCAACAGCACAAGCTGAAGACGTGCTGTCGGGGACTGAAAATTCTCGCCGCACTGCGGCAGGATTATGAGTAGAGCGTGCTGGGTTTCGACCTGCAACCGTCCGAAGAAAGAACGAAACAGGGATCAACTGACCAAAAGGAAGAAAGCCACACAAGGCCGATGCGTGGACAGCTGGAAAGGCAAACCGATGGAAGTAACAAGAAAAACAGTACTACAAGTTAAAGACAGGAGAGTTAACAGAGCATACCACGAAAATCATTCAAGAAGCAAACTCTGGGCCAGGTCCCTGCAGGTACCCTCTCGGCTTTGTGGACCTACTCCAAAGACTCTCCGTGGTTGGGAACTGTGATTCCAAACATTCTAGAGGTTCTGGGCACTGAAGGAACGCAGTTGGGAACTCCAGAAGGATGGCTGACCGGAAGAGGGCAACATGTCCGGGGGGCATAAATTAGCGCGACGTCATCTTCGAAGATAGCGACCATGCGGCTGAGACGAATCCCTTCACCCACCGTAAACCCTACCCTGGAGACCAAGCATCCTTCTCCTCTGCCCAGCAGCGGAAGCCAGGAAGACTCCAAGCCAACTATGGATCCAAAGCCATGTTGAGGAAATTCTGGGGGCCAATGTGTTTGAGACTCGGTGATTGACTGAGCTGAGTGAGCAGCATGTTCCGCCATGTTCCGTCAAGAGACATGTGACATGCCTGTCAGAATGTCTTTGCTCCTTTGTCGAAGTCTGCTTGAATCAAAACATGACCTAGCTGTCCCGCACAGGATGCTAGTTGAGCCAGTCTTTCTCCGAAGACCTTGGAATCCTGAAGTTGACGCAGTAAGTCTTAGACGAAGATACCCTGGTTGCCGAACGAAGACGGTTGGTTCCAAGCCAGATAACTCTGCTCTATGTTGAGCAGCTGTTTGGAAGCCTCTTTTGTCTTTCGAGCGCCTCCGACACGCTGCAGCGCAAAAAGGTCCGCCGAAAAAACAAGTAGGCGAGACAACAAAAGCGCTGTGACTCAGCAACATGTGGGAGCCGCGCAAACGTCTTCTTTCTGAAGGTACTGCCTTCCTCGCCTTGAGCCTTCTCCTGCTGCGCCGAGGTGCAGATGGCAATCTGGTGTGCTTCTGGCTGAATGGCCGACGTAGAACACACTGAATCACCCTCCATACACCTGCAAAGCCTCCAAGTTCATCGACATATAGAAGCGCGGCGGGATGAACGCAACTGGACCAGCTGGAGAAGTCGACCTTTCTCTGCTACACAACGCGCCACAAGAGTGCAAGGCGCTGGATCACGGCCTTTTCCAGGCTGCTGAGCATAGCAACAAAAGACATGAGATTTTCCAGACAACATTGGCTTCGCAAGAGATTGCAGCGACTCCAAAATACAAGCTGGAATTTTTCACAGCAGCGGAAACCTGTGGCAAAAGTGGAGCAAGGTTGGAGGAAAGGGGGCCATTCTCGAACCCTACAAGAGGGAGAACAACAATATTGACAACCTGGATCAATCCAGGTTGATTCCAGAAATCCAGGTTCAAATCTGACGTTTCAAAAGGAAGCAAAGCCACACAAAAACGCTTCGGGAGCTAAAAAGCGAAGATAACAAGAGAAAAAATCCAGCTTAATTCTGCAACCAAAGTGCGAGATGAACTTGCTTAATTTTTAACATGTTGGTGACAGGAACATGGATTGATTTGGTTGGAACGAAGAGTACGTAGAGAGATAGGTTCTAGGATTTTTTGGTTTGTTTGGATTGGAGATGGCATGGAGAAATGCTTTGTCGGAACCGTGCCAAAAAAGTCCTTGTTAAAAGCGTAGCTTTCAAGGTGGCAAACAACCCGAGAACATGCTCAGCCCAGAGCGGTTGCTCTAAGAGTTCTTGTCCTACTGCGCAAACCGTTTCTACACTGCAGTCACTCGCGTCAGCGCACACACGGTCCTGTTCTAAGACATGCACTGTTCCTGGTTCTAATCACATGCACTCGCGTCAGCTCTCATGCGGCCTGCTCGCATGCACTCATGCGAAAAAACTGTTCTGGCTTTGGCTTGTTCTCGGCTTCTATGTTTCTTCAACTCTTCTTTTTCTACAGAGTCTAATTCTTATCTTGGTATCCAAGCCAACACATGAGAAGCTTGATGCGTTTTGCGACAAAGTTTTGGTTTCTAGATCCGCGACGTTGGGTCTTGCAGAGTACGCTCCAAGTCCTTGTTTTGTGAAGGTCTTGAAAAAAAGAGCTCTGATGACTTCTGGTTCCTCGAACATGTGTAGATGACTTGCCCACCATTGAACACAAGTTCTGAACTAGTACTTCTACGGGCGTCCTTCTTGCCTGTCCGATCACCATCTCAACATACTTCCAGCTCTTTGGCAATTCCTGTGAAGTCGTAGCTACCATTCCTGGAGATAAGCTTCATCGACAAGATATTTCGGGTAACGAGTGTCAGCTCACAGTTGTGATAGGTGAATTTTCTTTTCGAGGAATCTGATGGTTCCTTCCACTTGAGTTCGAAGGTTTTTTCTGGTCAGCTAAGAAGACCACCCACACGCGCAACTCGCACTCAGTTCCTGCCGTGGAAACGAAGTGGGCACGTAAAACCTTTCGAACGATTGTTCTGAAGCGTTCCTGCAAGTGGTCGCTCTGTCCTGTGGAAGTACTCAAAACAAGATCCAAGACCCAAGCTCTGACGGGCTGATTTTTCACGTGCCCTCTTGTCATTAGGCCCGCACCAGCAAAAAAAAAGCTGGTGCATAGCCTAACGTCAGCAATTTTCGTGTAGTGTTGCATTATTGTCTGTCTACAAGAGAAATCTGGTCAAGCAAGATCTTGTCTTCCATCAAGAACGCAAGTTCTGCGAACATCTCAATTTGGCAAAGCAGCTGCTTATCTCGCACAAATTTATCGTAAGATTTCAACCAAAACATTTGTGGCTTGCACTTCAATCTCTAAGATCCTGTGGAGGTACCTTGATGTGTCCTACAGTTTTCGTGGTTTTTCGGACACTGAAAACGGCTTCGGGCGACAGTACAAGTTTTGGAATTGTTTGTGCCTCACATCTTGAAACCTTCCAGACCCCCGCTCCCCCCCCAAATTCAATGTTGACATAGAGGCGGCCAGTGACTTGCGGCAGCATTGCGGCACACATTGAAATTGAGGGGGCGGGGGGGAGGGTTCTGAATATGCAAACAAGAAGACTGTCAATGACTGACTGGTGCTGTACTCGATAAAAACCCTAAGTCCTTCATAACACAAACATTTCTTGCTTTCACATACAATCATTTCGGCGCTAATTCGGGCACTCCTCCCTACACGTCTCGTTATAGATCCTCCCCAAAGCCCTGCGTGGCAAATCTTTCCCTAAACCCTCGCATTGCCAAGGCTCCTAAACCTGTAGATAGACTACCCTACAATCTCTTGCACAGGCTCTTCCACATGTTTGCTTGCAGATCCTCCCCCAAAGCGTGCCTTGCAGATTCTCCTTTAAGCTTTGAAGCCTTACAAAACGCAAAAATTGGCAGGTCTCTTCTTACATCCTCGCATTGCCAAGGGTCCCCTAACCTAAGCTCTTCCCTGCGATTGCTTCTCTGATGTCTTCCTTGTATGCTCCTCCAAACGCTTGCTGGCAGACCCTCCCCCAAATCCTGCCGTGCAGATCCTTCCCTAAACCCCCGTTTGCAAGCCCTGCCCGCAGATCACTTCCCAATGCTTCCTATGCACAAATTCCCATTCTTCGCGCGCATTTCAGGTATTTTGATGGTCCTGCAACCCTGCAGATAATGCCACCCAAGCCTCCGCCTGGCATAGAGCCCGAATAGTGCCCCAATAGTGCCCGAAATAGTGCCCGAATGAACCGTTCATAGTGTTCAAGTAAATTTTCTTTTGTAGGAAAGGAAAACTCTTCTTTTCTCGCGGAAAATTATTTGGGCATCCTGAAGGGTTCATTCGGGCACTATTGCGGGCACTCTTCCGGGCACTATTCGGGCACTATTTGAGGGCGTCCAGACCCTACAAGGTAGGTAAGCCTGCACGCCGTTGGCGTTGCCTCCAAGGCAAAGAAACCCGCACAGAGTTATTGTCGCGTTTAGGCAACAAAAAACGTAGAACACAGCAGAATACCCGCACAGTGGCAAACAACGGTGCTTGAGACAAGCCCATCACCGGGAGCTAGCATTTTTGATAGAAGTCAAAACATGCGGTCGCTCCAGACGCTGGTCGCCGCAGGTCGGGAAAACTTTGGGAAAGCTTCAAACGTCCCATTCCACAGTTTTTTTGAGCTTTGGTTGGTCCCACTTTTGAGACCAAAAAACTGGTTCCAAAAATTGAAACCGCTTGATTGGAAACTATTAGGGAAGACGCACGCATT